CCACATTCAAAGGTCCCCTGCCTCCAAACACAGTGGGACTGGTGGTGGGCCGTAGTTCCGCCACCCTAAAAGGCTTGGTGATTCACCCAGGGGTTATTGATTCAGATTACACCAGGGAGGTCAAGGTAATGGTTTCATCCCCCCGAGGCATTTCGGCTATCTCACCAGGAGATAAGATAGCTCAATTACTCCTTCTGAGCAGCTTACATGAGAAATTTCCTGTGGAGAACAAAGAGCGGGGAGACAAGGGGTTTGGGTCTACGGGCGCCCCCCAGATTTTTTGCTCATTAGATCTCAGCACCAGACCGGTGCTCAGAGTCACAGTTAATGGTAAGCCCATAGTTGGTTTATTAGATACAGGTGCCGATCGTAGCATCGTTAGCACCACAGACTGGCCGCCGGGGTGGCCCACACAGCAGTCAGACCAAACCTTAACAGGCCTGGGGTACGCCCAGATGCCGCAGATTAGTTCTCGCTCGTTGCCATGGAAAGATGAAGAGGGCCAGCAACCCATTCGATTTGTGGTTACTGTGCGGCATAAATGGTAGCTGCACTGATATTGCCCCATTAGCTATGTTACCTGGAGGGGCTTGGGGTAGTGCCTCGATATCATGGAATACATCAGGTACGTTTGAAACTACAGTCCAGGTAAGTACAAGTACAGGCCCCAATGTTACCTTTGGGCCAACGCCAGTGTGTGTTTGGCCCCCATTTTTGTTTATTGTTTGTAATGATACTGCTAGCAATAATAGTATCCAGCTTGCTTTTTGTAATTATTCCAGGTGCTGGAACGCGTCCACCCATCCTTTAGCTATAGTAACCCGGGTACCGCGTTTTGTGCCCTGGCCAGTAGAGGCCCCCTCAGCTATGGCTTTGTTTAGGCAAAAAAGGGATTTCGGAATTATCGCAGCTATTGTTAGCGCTATTGCCATTGCCACAGCGGCAGCAACCGCTGCGGCCATTTCTCTAACCACCACCATTCAAACGGCGGAGGCTGTTAACAACTTGTCTTCTGCTGTGGCCCAAGTCCTGGATACCCAGAGAAACATAGATAGCACCCTAA